CCGTGGTCTGGCAGTACTGGGCAAGGTGTAGCCTGCCTGGCAGCTTACACCTCCAAAGTCGGCTACTGCTTCAGTTTCTTTTCTCTTACCTATAATCTCCACACTTCTCATTGTCTCATTGCTTCCATGTAGAAGAATAAACTTGCTTATAGTAAGGTGCATTCATATTAAGAATGGGTAAGACAGAAAGAGTTGCCTCTTTTGGACTAGTTGGGGATACAAACTAGGAAGATATTAGGCAAAGTCTACATATTTAATAGTAGGACAGGGGACAGGAAAGATGTGCAGTACTGGAGGAAAGTCTTCTGTATTTCTGTTGCTTTCATTGGCTAATTAATAAAGAAACTGCTTGGCCTGATAGGTCAGAACATAGGTGGGTGGAGTAGACAGAAGAGAATGCTGGGAGGAAGAAGGCAGTGATGCAGTCACCATGACTCTCCTCTCCGAGACAGCCGCAGGTTAGAATCCTGACACCACCTCGTGGTGCTACACAGATTATTAGAAATGGGTTAATCAAGATGTGAGAGTTAGCCAATAAGAGGCTAGAACTAATGGGCCAAGCAGTGTTTAAAAGAATACAATTTGTGTGTTGTTATTTCGGGTGTAAAGCTAGCCATGCGGGAGCCAGGAGGGAATGCAGCCCACCGTTCCTTTTACATGGTATGATTAGGAAAGCATTTAGGAGACCGAGTTGTGTGTCTGTGTACATGTGTGGGTGCTGGCTAGAGACCCCGGAATCATGGCATGAAGGTGAGCCCATTTTGAAAATGAGCTTCCCAGAATACAATGCTTTCCAGGCACTGTTGACCCTGGAACAGGAGTAAGGGAGAATCTGCTGGAGCCTCTTACATGAGGCTCCATTCCCAGGCTAATGGTGCAACCTACATGTGAACCCACCATGAGGATGTCTTGACAGGTAGTCTTTCAAGAAGGGAAAGTGAGGCAGAGCACACACATCTGAAGTCATGGAGGCTGCAAGAGCGCTGTGTCCTGACATAACTTCCCAGGCATCAAATCAGTCTTTATTAAATCTTCATAGGCACTTACTTTTAGAATCAATTTGAAATGTGTTCCAAGGAGAGGTTCAGGGACTCACCAATCAACTAAAGGGAAATGGGGCAGCAGACACTTCAGAGAGTGGGCCACAAACAGTGTCCCTCAAGTACCAACAGCAGCAACTGGGCATTTTAACGCAATTCAAAGATGGGTAGTTATATTCTGAGTTATTTACTTATTTTCATTTATATTTTAAAAGAAAATAGTTATCAAGACAATGATCTGGGAATGGTTTTGCTTAACACAAGACTAAAACTTATACTTAATGCCTTAAAAGCACTTTGATCTGCAGAACACAACTAAGGAAATAATTACCAGTGCAAAGATATCACAGGGCTCCCGAACGTCACACTGAAGTGGCTCAAGTTGAAGGACCACGGTCAAGACCATAAGAACATGGCTGCCTATCAGCACCCCTAGGCTGACTTCATTGTGCAAGGAACGTGCTGTGTGAACTTGGGCAAAGTGGAATCTGCTAAACTCCTGACTCAAGCGGTACGGTGGCACTGACAGACATCTCCAAGATGCTCTCCTACCTACCACGTGACAACGCTAACTCCCACGCAGGGACGTTCTGTGGGAAGTGGAGAGGAAGCAAGGAGATGAAATGAGTGTTGCCTGATGTGATTTGAGGCATCAAGGTAACTCTTGGTTTCCCCAAAGCAGGGAAGGAGAAAGTAAATGTATTAGATTAGGAAGCAAGGAACTGTGGCCACCTCTGTCACATGTGTAATGTGGCATCAATAAAATCAAGTGTCTTCCTAAGGCTCCAGTTCCTTTACTCATTTTTATTAATCATTTTTAACTTTAAAAATAGCATATATTTTATAGAATGTGATGTTTTGAATTGCATGGTGGGCCACTCAAAGCAATCTAGCTAACATATGATTTGACATACTTACCTATTTGTCTCTTGTGATGAGAACACTTACGGTCTATTCTGTTTGTGGTTGTCAAGAATACAATTATTTGGAACTGGAGAGATGGTTTAGCCATTAAGATGATTGCTGTTCTTGCAGAGGGCGTGAGTTATGTCCCCAGCACCTGCATCAGGCAGCTCACAACAGCCTGTACCCCCAGCTCCAGGAGTTCCTCTGCTCTCTTCTGGACTTCATGGAGCCCACCACACACATACACACACATGCATTCCCCCCACAATAGGAAATAACAAAAATGAATCTTTAAAAATGCAATACATTTTAATTGACTATAGTCAGTAAGTGGTCCAATAACCTACTGAACTTATTCCTTCCCATTGCAATTCTATCTTCTTTGACCAACATCCCCTCCAGTCAGCCCCATGCAATCTGTGGTGGCCTTCTGCTTCTAAGAATTCAACATTTTAGGATTCACCCTATAAATGACACCTTGCAGTATTTGTCTTTCAGTGTGACCATTTTCTTCCATTTTCTCTACTTAAGAGAGCAAATGTATAGGATGGTAGATAGTGACTACTCAGTCTTGACAGACTGCTGGATGCAGCTTTGGGAAAAGAAAAAATGTCTGCAAACAGAAATCTTGGCCTCCCATTCTCTTGTAGATTTTTTGGACCATTTCATCATTTAAAAATAGGGTTGTATGTACAGCTACAGCAAAATCAGATGTACTTTTAAAAGGTGATGAAACTCAAGCCAGTTAATACTGACAGCTTTAAAACTATCAGACAAAACATTGAGAGTTGGAGATGAAACTAGCTCATCACAGATCAACCTGAACCCATCACTAGTTGGGAGTTAGACATTACAGCCATCTCCTCTTCTAAATCTGTGAGTGGAAGATGAGCTACAAAACACTAAATATTTATCAATTCCATCGAACTCTGTAGTCCACTATTCTCAGCTGGATATACAAACTCCGACTGCAGCGACCACCACGCTCACATTCCTCATGCCCAAGGACAGCCAGGCCGCACACTCAGACTACTGCTGGGTTCCAGTTGTAGTTTTTGATTATTTATTTATTTATTTAAGACATTCCTAATCTCACTTTCTGATCTGCTACTTCACAAGATGATAGATACTTCTAGAAAATGTCAAACAAAAACTCTGCCACAACCAAAGAGGGCAAAGATCTCTCTCTCTCTCTCTCTCTCTCTCTCTCTCTCTCTCTCTCACACACACACACACACACACACACACACACACTACTACTACTACTACAACTACTACTACTACTACTTCACATAAAGTATAGTCTTCTAGTGCCAGGGAAGTGAAACCCGGAGACTGGAGCTGTCCTCAAATTTATACTCCATAAAATGGATGCTCAAGAGCCAGCAAGATGGGTCAGTAATTAAAGGTGCTTATCATTAAGATTGACCAGTCGAATTCAATCTCTGAGACTTACATGGTAAAACCGACTCCTGAAAATTGTCCTCTGACCTACACACACACACACACACACACACACACACACACAAATATAATTTTTAAAAGGATATTCAAAAGGTTGTGTCATGGATAATCCATATTTCAACTAACTCTATGCAAAATTGTGTCTCTAAAGAAGGGCGCTTCTGTGGTCTAGAATATTCCCTGTGTGTATCTCATCTCCTTATGCCATACTTATTAGATTTACCCTCTCTTGTCAGCATTCCAGCCCAGTGCAGGCTGTAAGTCATTTAAAATGTCCAGTGTGATACCTTATCATAAGTCAACGAAGTAGACTAGCAAGCCTTGACACAAGCAATGCTGCAAAGCTACCTCTTCTCCTTCTTGCTCAGAGAAGTTTCCAGAGAATGATTTTGGTTATGAGAATTCAATTGTTCACCTGCAGGAATTCTGCATGTCTAGTGCTGTGCCTTTCCTCACTGGGTCATGTCTGCCTGTCTGGGCTGCTTCCCTGCGCTAAGGTGGTAGCTGAGAATCATACTTGTAGAAGCATATCTCTGGAAGTGAAGCACCTACCGTTTGATGACCCATCTTTCCTGGCAGCCCCCACTCGACTCCTCAAGTTCACTGTCCAGGAAGCACTGGTTGCTTTCCTGTGGCAGGGTGAGTCCCTGCAGTCATGGTTTCTAATGTGGACACTTACTGAAATTTCTCCGCAGACTTACGTGACTAGGGATAGTGGGTTTAAGGCACCGTGTCCATTTCAGGAAACCCAAAACATGTAAAGAAAGCCCCAGTAGCTGTGTGTCCCATAGGACAGAGTGTTTATTGTTGGTTTTTTGTCTAATAATACTGTTGCCCTAGGGGAATGGCAGGGTAAGAGATGCTGGGAATCACACTGCAGTTGGATCTTGGTGCTCCGACTTCCTACCTTGGTGCTCCCACTAGAAGCCCGGCACAGAAGCTACAGTCCCTTCCTTCTGAGATTCTCTCCAATATCTCCTCTCTCTTGCTTTCTGGGGTACTTGTACCTGCATCTGTTCCTCCCTGTGGAGCCACTTGAGCTCTCCCGCCCTGCTGAGCATCCCTGCCCTTTCTTACCCACTGCTGCTGTGCACACTCCCTCGTCTTTGCCTCAGGGATTCCCTCGACCCGTGCCCCTTCGGCCCTTCTCCACTAACCGCCTCAAATGATCTTTTCCAAACACATTTCTGGTTAACAGCAGTACAGAGCAAACTGCCCCTTTTCCCTCATCAAATAACCTGCTTTCAAATAAGCCTCTCCCAGCTCCCTAAACAAATAGCATCCCATAATCGACCTCATTCTAAAATATTGCTTTTCATAACCTCCAAGCATTTGCTGCTTCTCCTTTACTTCACTGAAACCATGAAGTGCATGCACACGCACAAACACACACACACACACACACACACACACACACACACACATACACACATACACAGAGAGAGAGAGGGGGGGGACACCCTTTTCCTCCCCTTCCCCAAGAAAGAAAAGTTATATGAAGAGTATAAGGAGCCATTTGTATGTCCTTGATGGTTTTTTCCCTAATGAAATGAGTTGATGGGGAACACAGAGAGCCATCCCAAGGCCAAACACATTCTACTGTTTATTACACATATTACATTCTTAAATAAAAATGCGTCACATAACATTTTTGCATAGATATCTTACAATATACCAATTTAAAAAAGAATTATGAAACAGACCAGTAACAAAAATAAATTTTTTCTTCATTAATAATTTTGTAACATTAACATACCACCATCATATAATACAAATAATAGTTTTAAATCTTAAGACTTTTGTACAGCAAAAAAACTTGACAAAGTAATATATTTATATATATATATAAAAAGCTTAAAAAAAATAAAATGTCAAAAAAAGGCATAACCGAGGGCTATAAGACTGGGTACTTCTGTGATATATTATAAATACCAGAGAAGGCCTGAGAGAATGTGACGGGGAGGTGGGGGGAGGGGAGGGGCTGGGAGCAAGTCTTTCCAAACACGCTTGGTAGACACGTCCGGCAAAACGAAAATGTATAGTGCAAAATTAAATTTCTTCAAGCAACTGTGAAGAAGATAACAGAGTAGAAATAAAAGTCATGGTGGCTGGGGAGTCATGTATTATGAGCAGGGATGACGGTGCTGGGGGGGGGGTGTGGTGGTGAGGGAAGGGAGGGAGGGAGGCTCCAAAGACATGAAACATTTATTTTTGCCTCTGTGCTAGCAAGGAGATCTTGGCCCTAACAGGTGTATTTTTCCTCCCTGGAATGGAGCAGAAGTGAAGATGAAAGAAATGGAACTGTCTGAGCTTGGGTTAGGAAATGCATGCTGGGAAGCAAAACTAAGAACCATCAATGAGCCCCCAAGTCTTCAGGACCCGATTTACAGAAATTGTTCTGCCTCTGGTCCCAAGGGCAAGGATTAAAATGTCCCCTTTCCCCACCCACTGCTCCTCCCCTGTACATGGAACTAACTCCCAGGGGTGTGGTTTTTACTTACTGGCATTATAAGCATTCATCCCCCCAAAAGAGATTAGGCACTGGTGGCTACCCCTCTTATACCTCAGTAGCCTGTTTTCCTTCTGTGAAGGTACAATAGGTACATGTGCACACCCATGAAGGCGTGTGCACACACACCACCCTCATGATTCTGACGTGGGGTCCTTTTTATGGCAGTAGACAGAAGCTGGGGTCAGAGCTCACAGTTGAAAAAAATCGTATAAACGGTCCCCAACCAAGAACACATCAACCTTCCCTCATGACCACGGAGAGGGAGCCCTGTTTTGAAAGAGTATATCTTGTTAGGGATATTTTTGAAGTAACAGCCTGGATTTCACTCTTGTTTTGGATACCTGTTTCCCGAGGACTTACACGCAGATACAGAACACCTGAAGAATACAGTACTATATTGAAAGGATGCACAGAAAGTTAACTGCAGCTTAGTTATCCCCTTCCTGGGATCTGCTAGAGGAACCTAGGAGGGGAGACTTAAGTGTTAAAAATAAGAAACCCTGAAGCCCCAGGCATTAGTGATGAGACACCACATTTCATAGAAACAGATTTTGCTTTCTCTGACATATTTCTGTTGTCCATCTCAAAAGCTTCCAAAGATCCTCAAAGAGAAAAAGAGGCCACCAGGAAGGCAGCAAACTATGCTCAGGCTGGGCCCTCCAGTTCCAAATTAAGCAAGCATCCCCCGTGTTCCCGAAATGCAACCTGGGCATTCAGAACTAGGTATCCGCCTGCCCCAACTTCTGCCACTTCTAGAAAATTTGAGGGAAAGCTTTTGTGAATTTATTTCAGCCAGGTACTACTTGCTAAATTTCCACTCGGTCAATATTTTAGGTGCAAGATTTCAGCCATATGTTGATATGAGGTCGTTTGTTTCTTTGTTTTTAAAGGGGAGTAAGCAGACTGATTTGTGTACTCAAATGGGCCGTATGCCCCCTACCTTTGTCCTTTTGGAGGAACACATGCAAAAGAGGAGGAAAAGTTGTTTTTACTTTGACGTTATAAAGTGACCAAGAAGTCGTCACCCAGAACTATTAAGAACCATTATTGAGGTTAGCACTGGCAATGTGTTTCTTTGGGCTTTCCCAGGAGATGATGCAGGAGTGGAGGCTGCAGGCAGGAAGTTCTGAATGTATGGGTTAGCCCCCAACTCCAACCCCAGCTGCTTTCCCATGGATGCAAATAGACAGGGATCATTTGGAAGCTTAGCCCATATTCAAGTCCCCAAATAAGCTCTTCTCTGATTTCAAAGAAGAGTTAAAAAAACAAAAACCAACCAAACAAAAAACCCCTAAGAACCCATCCTGCTCATCAGGCATGAGGTTGGCTGTCTTTTTACCCTGTTATCATCAGGCAATCGAAGATGGAGGGTAGAGGAGGTGCGCGTGGGGAGGTGACGGCAGGGAGAGGCGTGCTGGGAGGATTTATGAAGGAATTTGGAAAGCAAGGGGTAAATGGCCAGCATGAATGTCATTTTGGGGTCTCCAATATTTTTACAAAAATGCAGCTTTATCATGAAATCCAAACATCTCTTTTTTTCTGGACCAAACGCTCATCACTGTGAGCATGAAGCTGGGCCAGTGAGCCGACAGTGGGACCGGAGGCCAGAAGCCGGGAGCAGCATGGCAATGTCAGGTCTCCACATCCCTGACGTCGTGTGGACGAGAAAGAGGCGACACTGGAAGCAAAGGAAATCGCCGGTGGCTTAGAAACACATCTTCTACACAGCCAAGTCTGGACCCTGGACAGAGCCCTCAAGAGGACAGCCTATGACACACTACGCCAGGTCTGTCCTTTCAATTTTCAGACCCCTTGGACTGTTGGGAGGTAATGCTTTAAACCGTGAAAGAGATTTTTGTGATTGAAATGTCCATTACATCATTCTAGGTAACCAGTCCTCTTGGGAGCAAAATATATGTTGAGGTTATTTCTTGGAAAACCTGCTCCCCCACGAGAGGTTTCGAGACCACCTCGGCAATTTGAAAAGGACCGATGGTTCCTCCACAAACCTATTTCCAAAATGTCCAAGGGCTGCCCACTTCACGCTGCAGACTAGTGATCCTCCACAGGTGCCCACTGGGGCTAGAGAAGAAGAGGTTCAAAGCCACGCGCTTAGCACCCACCAAATTCTCAGGCCGATTCCCACAGTCAACAAAGGACTCTGAAGCAAGCAAGCACCGTCATGGCATCTCAGTGCATCGTGCTCCAAGAGAGGGCAGGAGCAGATGACAGAGGACCTCACTGATACAAAAGGGAAATTACCAAACATTTCAGACACCAAAGAGGACCAAGGAGCCTTTGTTCTGCCACATTCAAATGAAACCACAGATGACGAAGGGGGACAAATAGCAATGATTACTCTTTTGTGTATTTTTTTTTCACTTTTTTCTTTTTCTTTTTTTTTTCCTTTTCTTTTTAAATAGAGCCTTGCAACGGTCAGTACAAAATTTAAATTAAGCACTATAAACCTTAGTAATAACATTTTGAGAGCAAGAGCAGCCCCAGCCTTGGAGAGAACATCTGTGAATCGTGACAGCCATGGCTTAATGCCATCCCTGGCGTGTGCGTGCATTCATGTTAGAGGCTGCTGTAGAAGAAAAAAAAAAGAAACAAACCAACAGAATCTGGGTAAAGTTTCATCTAGTGCACTGACTGGAGGCGCTAGCTACAGTTTAATACAGCTGAGGTTCAAGGTCCCTCACACATCCTTCACCCAAAGAGGATGCACCACACATTCAAATATAATCCCATAGCGTGCCCTGATGGACGGACTGGCTGCAAAATGCACTCAAATGTAGTAGAGAATGAGATTGTCAGTAAGCAGAGCTCCAGGAAATAAGTCGTGTCCGCTTTTAAATCTTTGGGATAAAACAGATTTCTTTTTTCTTTAATACCCTCCAACTAACATATACATAATTGCTTCTGGCAAATGGAATGTGTGTGTGTGTGTTTGTGTGTTTATGTGTTTGTGTGTGTGTGCGCGTACATGCACGCGCATGTGTGTATTTTAGGGTGCTTTCTTTTCTTTTTTATTTATTTTTGGTCTAAATTGAAAAAAAAAGTAAAATAAAAAAGAAAATTCTAAAGGCCAGACCTCTAAATGCTCCAGGTGTCCCACTGGAAGCTATAGCATTTGTGACAAGGAGGTCCTTCCACCCTCAGACGAGTAGATTCAACATCTCAGTGAAACAGAAGCTGTAGAAAGCTGAGAACCCAAGTGCCAAGGATCTTGAAGGTTGCTGTCATATGTGTTTGTGTTGCTTATATTATTATTATTATTTCCTTTAAAAGACTTCAGCTTTGCATCCCAAATATGTATGGGGTCGCATTTTAACAGTCAATGAGTCAAGCAGTCAGAGGAGGCCAGGAGGGAGCCGGCTGGTATGAAGGAGCAGCAACCATGTGTGGACCAAATGCCATTTTTGTTTGTTAGACATGTCTTGAAGGGATGGTCCCAGAATATACAAAATATACAATCTGCCCTAATAACCACCCCGCTTGCTTGCATAGGACAGTTTATGGTCCTAAAGGCAGTCTTTGGAGTTTAGGCCAGTGCCAGCTAGCTAAGAATTCAGGAAGATAGAGACCAACATTGGGTGTATGTGTGTGAGATGCAAGTGAGCAATATAACCCCTTGGAGTCAGCTTTTGGAGTAAATATGAGGCCTCTGTTGATCCTGGGTGCTTTAGGTCACAAGTCATGGTGGGCCTAGCCAAAAGAACCAGCTCCCCCTCCCCCAAAGAAAGCCCCCAATACCCCTAGACACATCAAAAGAGAGACACCTCCATCCTTTCCTCAACGGACAACCTTCATTCCCACAATGGCATGTTGGAGAATGTATTTAACAAGTGGGTACCATGAGCTCAGTGGGTAAGAGGGAAGGGATGGGATGATGTTTTGTGATGCCTCTGGACTTGGGAGGCATCCTCAGATTCCCCACTCCTGGAAAAGAGTGATATTTTTGGCTTTTTGTCAGGTCATAACCCAGAGTTATATTAAATATGCAGCTGCCCTTGGAGACTAGCGACATCTATGCTGTAACTGGTTCTAGGGTAGCCATGACAGCACAGGAGCTGCTCCCTGTGAGCGGAGGTCATCACGCCTCAAGGAGGGATGAGAGAACTGTGATGTCCCGTCTGATTGGCTGCTTCGAGAGCTGGACATCCAGGTGCTGCGAGAGTCCCGGAGAGGTTTAGTCCATGGAGAAAAGATAAAACATTTAAGCTTCCAAATAAGCTTTTTTTCAAGTTTCCTTTAGCAAAAAATCAGAGAGATTAAAAAGAAAAAATCTAGCACTGGCAAGAAGGTGAGGCTCAAGGGGTATACTGTGACTTGTCATCAAAGACTCTATTCTCTTGGCCACTTTGCAGTCATGCTAGAAGTTTCCAGAATCCCTAGTGCATATGATGTGCGAGAGTCAAAAAGATAAGAAAAGAAAACTCCTCCCTTGAGAGTGAAGTCTAGAGAGATTCAGGCCAGAGAGGTGTAAGATGGGAATCCACAGGCTGCCGCCGCCGCTAAGGCCATTGGTACCGACTCAAAAGAGCTCAAGGGTCCTAAGAAGAACCCAAACCAACCGACAGTTCTGGGAGGAAGCGTGACGCACGGAATAGCAGGACTTTTCACACACAAAGGACAAATAAACCAGGAGTTAAGTTTGGCTACCAAACTGCAATTTGGTTTGCTAGGTCAATTCCCCCAACTATTTAAAAGGAAACGTTAGTGCTACACGTACGCAACCGGGAGATGTTGAATTCTCTTATTACGTTGCACTGAGAAGCAAAGTTACATAAGCCCCTCACACTGCTGGCCACCATGGAGACATCCATGCTTGTTTGTTTGCTTTTTTTCCATTGGCAACAGCGGGAAGTAATTCCAATAGGGGTGGAGTCAGCAGCCAGCGCCTTGCTGAGTTCACCTGGCTTCCTTCTTCCTCGTCTTCTACCATCTGGCTAGGGCAAGGCATAAGAAATACACATATATACTCTAAATATAGTTGAGTGCATGACAGTGGGTATGTGTGTGGGTCTGTGTGTGAGGGTGTGTGTATGTGTGCGTGTACAAGTATGTACACAGAGGTTTGTAAGCGAGAACTTTCTTCTGCGAGGCAGTGCTCCCCGCCTGAAGTCCAGCCCTCCACCTCAGGGCATTTCCTTCGGCCATTGGCTGATGCCATGGCAACTCTGGCCTTTATGGTGTTTTGTTGTTTTTGTTGTTGTTGTTGACTCTTGTTTTTGTTTTGTTTTGTTTAGATATGTCTCTTCATATGGAGAGCAAGATGGTCAGACCTGGAGAAACACCTAGAACAACAAACAATAGGCATGTTAGAGAGGCCCAGCTGCTTCTATCACTTTACTAAATGATCAGTCTTAAAGAGAGACCACACACATGAATTACGGAAAGAGGAAGTGAACCGGAGGAGCCACTAGGGTTAAACTGTTTCAGTTCAAACCCTAGCTCTTCCAGCAGCTGTGTGGCTGACAGGGATGCTCACTGCAGCTCACAGAATTGCTCTAAGGATTAAACCAAACCAGTATTAGAACATCACACCACATGGAGTAAGATGTCAATGCACATTAACTTTTATAATCATAACTATAATTATCTAAGATGCTTTCAGAATGTACATCACGCTCATACACTGTAAATACAGTAATGAATAATTGGCCTGTATCATCATCAGCTGGCGGAGCACTGATGTTTCGACACCCAGACTGCAGTCTCAGGCCTTACGAGAGCCCAGGAATGTAGTACCTGTAATTCCCCCGGGCTCACACAGGTATAATACATGCACAACAAGGCAGAGAACGGCGAACAGTGTCCACAGACCGAGGAGTATGTAGGCACTGTGCCAGCATACCCTCAACACTACCCTAGTGACGTCTCCATGAGTCAGTCAGTCTGGGTATATGCGTCTGTCTGTCTGTTTCTGTGTGTGTTAAAGAGCTGGGCTGAGGCTACACAGGTGGGAGGAGTGGAATGGAGGCTGGTACTGAGGTTTCGGACCAACACTTGGCGCTTAAGTTTTATAACCAAGCGCCCTCCTTGGCAGATGCTTATAGTCATTTTCCTTCCTCCTTACTGATAGTAGACACACAATAGTCTCTCGGGTAGAAACCCTTTTACGCTCTCAGTAGTATAAAGCTGACCTTCCTTCAAAGGTGAAAGCTATGGTGGCAGTGATTGCTAAGCAACAGTCACATGACCCACAGAAGCCAAAGGAAGGCAGGTCTTAGTTGCTGAAATTACTGGAAGAGAGACATTCACCTTCAACCGGGAATGCTAAATCGCTATGAGGTGAGCTTGGAGCTGCTAGTGCCTACATTGCAGCAGTGAAACAGCCTAATGGGGAAGGAAGGGGGCAGAGAGAAGGGTGAAAGGAACAGAAATCTGGATGAAATCTGAGAACTTGGATTGAACCAGCCTTAAAGACAAACCGAATTGCATTTCTGACAATTATCTGTGCTAAGAGATAACCTTTCACACTAACTTCAGTTTAACCCTGGCTGTGTGCCCTCCCTCTCTCCCTCTTTCCGTAAGCCAGCCCCTGCCTTGCCTATGAAAACATTCCTTGGTATCCCTGTAGCCTGAGATAGCCCCATCACTCAAAACCCGCCGCCCATTCAGGTTTGCAGAAGTTTCCTGTCCAAAGCAAGACTTCCTTGTGTTTGTTCATTCTTAAAACAAACAAACCCAAATTCACCCTGACCCCTGACCCCAACAGTCTCTACATCCTCTGTCTATACCCAGTCCTTAAACAGGTACACACCCAAAACAGGACCTAAGGAGATGATGTGAAATAAGACAGAAGACAATGAAAAACTTACAGAATGGGAAAAAGACAGCAGGAAACAATCTAACCCAATGACACCTGAACAACAGCCCCAGCCCCAGCAGCTTATTTTAGGCCCTAATTTGGAGGGAGGGAGCTACCTAGACACTCCCTCTGAACTAACTCTGAAGCAGATCTGACTTACGTAGAACACTAACACAGCTAACGAATCTTTAGGATCTCAGTTTTTAACCTGCACAGTTCCAGACTGTCATGGGCCTGCTGTCTCTCCTGCCTTCGCTCACTGCCTCCCCTTGCTTTTTCTCTAGTATCTACAGGCTGCCCACGCCATTTTGGGAGACTCTATCCCTCCCCTCCATCATCAAAGCGCAGTCTTTAAAAATGGAAGGGGGGGGGGTTGAAAGAGGCAGAGCAGCTTTGAACATAGAGGACTGGAGTCTCCAACAATGAGTACGGGCAGCTGCTAGATCCTGGAAAAGGGTAAGAAACAGACCCCCCCCCCCCCAAAAAAAAAACCTTCGAGATAGAATGCAGGCTACCAACACCTTGACCACAGCCCAGCAAGAGGGACTTATGTTGAACCTGGAAGCTACAGGCTGGCAAGAAGGATTTTGCAATGTAAATAAATGTGAGACATCTGTGGTCGCAGGTTGCCACACCAACCAGAACATCAACTCAGAGGATCAGTGGTTAGGGTGGAATTAGGACCTGAGGAAAACAACGGAGCAGGCTCTTGGAATCCAGTCTGTCTCCAGGGCATGTGGGGATTTGAACTGGTGAAATGAGGAGGGGCCTCTTTGCTTTCCTTCTCAGGTCCTGGGAACATATCCCTGATGTGGAATGTTATTCCGTCACACGTGTTCAGCTTTCCATTTGCTGCTACTATGGCAGGACATCTAGCCATATATGTTCAACTATCTACCCTTATCCTCCAATCTTTCAGGAAAAAAGCCAAGTCCTTTAGCCTGGCATGAAATACAGATGCGTGCCAAGTGACCCAAACAAGCATCTTCATTTGCTTAAATTCCAGGAAATGTCTGATATTTAGACTTAGACCAGATTCCCCAGCATTAAGGTTTCCACTCAAATTCAATATACCAGGTTAGGTACTTAGTCAAGATGAATTTCTATTTAACAATTTATACTTCCTGAGCTCTGCATAGAAAGAGAAAAGAGTAGACAAACTGAGCATCTAGAAGGGCATCTTAAATGTCAGTCGTTTTAAGGTTCCCACACCCCAGGAGGTATTCATGACACAACAGCCTAGTGACTGTACATAACAAGGTCTTTAGTGATTGGAATCGGTACATGGTGAAGCTTGTAGTCATTCTCGCTTACGGTCAGGGCACTCTGAATGTACACTAAGCCAACTGCAACCCTCTAGAGGACTAGGCGGCTGACCTAGTTAATTCTTTCTATCACCCAAACTGCTGTAAAAGTAAAACACTCGCTCTCAACTGTCTAAGACCTTTTTGACCACCTTGGTACCAAGCCCACCGGGATTCTACCAGCCTGCTCCCTGTGGAACCGGAGCTCCATTTATGCCCATCATTAGCCTCATGCTCTCTAGGCTGAGACAGGACCTGTCATGCTGGCGCGGATCACTTGTCGGGCTACAGCAGGCTCTGTCTGGGGCTGAGGATGTGATACAGTCCTCACTGGTTTTCCCTCCAACCTGAACTTGAAGCCAGGAGTCACAAAACTCAGTGCCCTCGGGGGCCAGGCAGGGAAAGGATGTAAGTGCATCGAGCCTAGTCTAACAAATGCACAACACTCCATGACTATCTCTTTCCACACGTGAAGAAATAGTGCTTGCTCCTTGTAAGAGGAAATAATACAGAAAGTAGTGCTTTCACAGTGGAGAGGCAACGGAGTGGTGGGGACAGTATGAAAGCAATCATCACGTGAAGCTCTCCAGCTCTAGTCCAGGACAGCGTCTGGGAATAGGAACCTATGGTGGTCAGGTACAACTGTTCTAGATAAAACTACATTTAGCCATTTTAAGTGGGAGCAGAGGAAGCAAATAAATTTAATTGCTTCATGTATTTTTAAAACTCGCACACACAAAATAAAAGCGTACATTATACAAGGGGTATGTTTAAGAAAAAAAGAGGTTAAATCTCATTGAGTTTCTACAGAAAAGGGGTTGAACTGCGTAATGTCTGAGGCAAGGAACAATGCATTCACACACACTGTGAAGCCAACAGGACACAGGATCCTGCTCGGCCGCTGTAGATATCCTCAGTGTCCAAAGGTCAAAGTCTCCTAAGGAATGGCAGCTCCCATCACTGCGGGCTTTCCTTTCATGTGCTCTGGGGCCTCACGACAACTCTCAGATCTGTCTATTCTTAGCACCCTAAGTGGTGAAATGAGAGGTACTGCCTGTCATGAGACACACTAGCCAGTTCCTGCTCTTATTCCTGAGGTTGAAAATGCGTTCCTGACCTAGGGCATAGGGTCTACTCAAACTCCCCCAGCATCACTGAATCTGTGCCATCGACAACAAATTCCATCTCCAAAGGCCACGGTGTGTTTTGATGAGGAAAAGAAGGCAATGACTCACCAGATTTCCCATCCCCGCCATCTCCCTCACACCCAACAGGCTGGGAATATTTTTCCACATCAGTCACACAAGTGGATGACTGACCGCTAATGTATCAAGTCAGGAACTCCTCAGTGAGTAGACCTGGCGATTTCCCCCTAAGTGCCCACTGTCCGCTTCTAAGCACGAGGCCGACCCATAAGACCACCTTCTCCAAGTCACAGCCTCAACTCCCTCAAGAGATGGGCGGAGTACCTCTGCTACTACGCTGACAGCTCACAAAGACTCATCTCCGTCCCAGGAGACAACAGTGGAAAGCTCTTCACAGGCCTGTGGGCATAGCCAACTCCCACCTATAGGCTTCCTTATCAGCCGGGGCTGGGGAGGACTCAACCGGGATGTGTGAAAAGAGGTTGGAGGATGGTGCCAAACACAGAGACACTGACTGGGGCGTGGAAGAAAAAAGATGCTGCACTCCAGAGGCCTTCTAGGGAACGAGGGCCAAGTCCTGGGTTGCAGACAGCCCTCCAGGCAGTGAGAGACAATAGCTGTGAGAGCCCACTTCCTCAGCCCTGGGGGGAGGTTATCTCTCCACTCCAGGAGGCAGGGGATCTTTATTTAGTTCTTAGAGTATGGAGATAGAGGAAAATAGCCTCTTCCGGAAGAATGGGGGAGGAGAAGGAGAACTCACTAGGCAGAGCAGGGACTTGGCCATCCCCGCTCTGCTCTCCAAGCAGCAAACCCTCAGAGGAAGGTCTGGCCAGTGGGAGATGCTGGCCTAGAGCACAGGGACTGGGAGACCAGGAAGTGAGGGAGATCTCATTTCCTCCCAAGGACAGCCAGGCCTCCGCGGACATCCTGCTCCCCCCCTCCTACCATCCTGCAAGCCCCTGTCCGAAGCCGAAGAGCCCTGAGGCTTTCAGGGGCTTTTATTGTATTAGAAGCATTTTTCTCATCATAACTGAGACCTTTAGTATTGCATTAAAAAGATGGTTAATTTTCTTAAGCTTCCTTTTAAACACAGAAATAGGATTAGAAGGATAACATGCTCAGATGCAAGCCCATTATTTGATTATGTCTAAACCTAATCCTGCCTTCACCTTGGCCTGCAGAGTCTCCATTTTGGGGTTTATCGGCTGATAATGCCAGGGCTGTCAGATGCTATTACTCGGCTACTATCTGTTGCTACGTGATCCTTCCACTATCAAATGCTGAAGGTTTAGAATTGAATTAAGGGTGATTTGGGGAGTACTGCCATCTTTGGATCCTTAAGCACATCTTCCTTGAGGAAGGAATAGTCCAGATGTCCAAAGACCAGGCCTTTCCTTTAGAAAACTCACTTCCAACACTGCTTCAGAGAAAAGTCTCAGAAATCAGTCTTCCTCCCATGAATCAACTTTTTCTTCCCTTCACTATGAAAGATGAGGAAAGGTGGTATGGATGATAATAGAAAGACCGAAGGGCAGACACGATGAGACGTTTGATTCTCATTCCCTCTTCCAGGACACTGAAACTCTCTCTGCCGTCACCTCTGTGCGAGGCAGTGTTGATGTCTTGTTTGTACCCAGTGACCAGCACCAGTTCAAGGCCAATTCTGAGTAAAGAGTGTGCAGCCAAATTGAGAACCTGAATTTAGACCACGTACGAGCATGCTGCTTCTCACTTTTTTCAGCAGTAGATAAGTAGAAGGCATTGCTAGGGCCGTGGAGCTGGGCGTGAAACAGGCCTGTGCCTAGCCCCACATCATACGTGTGGACCGGCCTCCAATCTACTGCACCAGAGCTGGGCCTGAGC